AAAATGAATTGCTAAATTGTATTTAAGTGCTAGTTTATTAAATTTAATGGAAACATGTTTAGTGTTCTGAGACTATTTCTAAATTTTAGAAACAGTGTTAATGGAACAATGAACAAATTCATTTCTCTTCCTGGTTTAATGGCAGTATGAACAGCCTGAAATACACTTCTGTATTGGAGTGTCATTTACATTTCTAAAATCTCTTCCAATGTATGATTCCGATTATTCTGTTTATGATTATAGCCCAGAACTATGGAATAATATTTTCTATATGAAAATACTGTAACTTAGTCATGAAAACCTACTTTAATTAGGCTCTATGATCTCTAGTGTCACGTAAATATCTACTGTTGCATTTTTAAAATTCTTTTTGTAATTTATACTTCTCTAAAATCCTTCCTCATGTATTATAAAAGAAATGCATTTAAAAGACATAATATTCTAACATAAATCATTATTATTCCTAACACATCAGGTTGACCCGCTTTAGTTTTTTTTGAAAAGCAATGTAAGTACTTTTTCTGGGCTAATTACTGTCTTGAATCTTAATAAGTCCACTAGCTAGTAATGTTAGCTTTCGATGTTTTATGTTAATATTAATTTTAAGGTGGCAAAAAGCATGAAATACTGTTTTTAATTTGCTATTCATTGCTCGATTAGCTTTCTTTACATTTTACAATTGTGGTTAAGATAGTATTACAAGATCTTAACATTCTGAAACAGTTTCTTTACATATTGTTTCCTTGGAAATTAATCAGTGTACAAATAAACAAGAAGAAAACAAAAGGAGCTTGAAGAGGATGAAACCAAAGAAAGTAAAACAGAATAAAACCAATCAAAACAAACCACTATAAGTGATACAGGACTTCAAAACTATACAAAATCAACAATAGTTACCATAATGCCTCTGATTGTCTTCAAATTAGCTGTAAAAACCTTCAGACATAGTAAAAATTAAACAGAACAGAACAGAATGGTACCAATAAAAACAAAACAATGAATGCAATAAAGGACTTCAAAACAAAACAATAATAAATCCAAAATGGCTACCATAATATATTTTGCTATATTTGACATAGCTGCTCATGCCATCGGATATAACAAAATCAAACAAAACAAAAATATAAAATCCAACCCAACAAAACAGTGAAAATGATACAGGACTTCAAAACAAAATAATAGGGAATAGTAGCTACCACCTTCAGAAGGAGATCACCCCTAGTTGCCATACTGCATACCTTTATCCTTTGAATAGATAATCAGACTGCTGGCCCTAGACCTGCCAGGTCAGTGAAACACCAAAACACCACAAGCATCAGATTGCATTTCACCTCAACAGCTGTCATTGCAGCCTGTGTTTCTCCAGGTCAGCCAGTTGCTTATGGGGTGGAGGTTTGGCTCTTGTCTGCCAGCCATGCCCGGAAGGGGCTGGGGTCTGGCTGTCCCCTCCACCCCCACTGGTGGCAGGTCACCCATGGTGCTAGTTCCCATGGAAGGCTTCTTGCTGAATCTTTGTTCTCGCCCCCTGCAGTCCACAAATGTTCCTGAGTCAGGGGTAAGCCTGGGGTCTGGCTTCCCCCCTCCCCCAAATTTTTTTTAAAGGAAGAATTTAAGATGGATAATGTAAGGATACTGTAATGTAAGTATGATACCCATAATGCTTAATTTGTACATAGTTTCATCAACTCCTTTATAGTACCTCATTCACAGGTGTTTCTTCGACAGCCTTACTGTGTTTATGTCTTTTTTTTTCTTATTTAATCAGCATTTCTTTTTAAATCTTATTAGAAAGAATAGCAAGGGTTAGGAACTCCTGATGAATTTCTTGTAGCTACCATGGTTTTCCTCTCTTGTTTCCTGTTTTTTTTTTTTCTTTCTCCTCCCTTCCTCCTTTCCCTCCCTTAATTCCTTTACATTTCTCTCCTTTTTTCTTATCAAAGAATAATGTAATGAATATCTTTATTCTTTCAGTGTTCCATGAATAACAAGTATGAATGAACAAGTATGGCCTGTTGATTTTCTTTTAAATATGTAGGTATAATGGCAGTTCATTCAAGCTTTCATTGAATGAGGTGGTTGCAATGTATTTCTTTAACAATCTATATTCTAGATTAACATAGTAATTATTGTTAAAAAGATGAATGTCAGTCAGTGATACAGCTCAGCAGCATAAGCACCAGCCTGGCAAGCACAAGATCCTGAGTTCCATTCCCAGTACCAGGGGGAAAAAAAAAAGATGAACCTTATTTTCACCCTCTGTTTCACCTCTGAGTCTCCAGTAATTCACATTTTAAGACAAAAATTAGAGTGACACTGATAAAAGTTATTTTTAAAAGCATATATAAATATCATGAATAAATTAACATTTAAATGGAATTTTAACTATATTGAAAGTTGTGAATAAAAAAAATATAGTAGGAAAAATTCCCCTATTGTAGAGGACAGTGCTGTAGAATCTGTAAGTGTCCTAGATAATGGAATACCGACCTGGACAAAATTGATTTATGTATACATGGAGAACATTTAGACTTCCACTTGTTCCCAATTGTACTGAATGTGGAACTAATAATTATGCAGTAAGAAATAATAGAGAATAAATTCATCTCTAAAATGTGACCTAGCACATAATAAAGTAAGTCAATATAATTTCCTTACATCTTCATTTTTTAAGTTGAAATGGCCACAGTGTATTTATGATGCACTATAGATCAGAAGATGAAGGATCAATAAATGCAAAGTGAACAACTAAGACATAGCTAATAGTACATTAAATGAGAAATTTAGTTGAAGGAGTCAAAATATTCAGTGTCATTCATGATATATATGAAAATCATTGGTAATAATGAACATCTTTATATATTCTCAGTTGACATACTAGAAGGGCAGTATAAAGTAGTTTGATTAAAAGTTTCCAAATAAGACTTTATGGATTTGAGTCTTGCTAGTGTCACTTATTAGCACTGTGACCGTGGACAGAATACTTAATGTCTTGTCCATAAATTGGATTCAGAAATAGAATTGCTGTGAAGATTTAATGAGTTTATATATGTACAGTGTCTGAAGTAATTAGAACAGTGCTAGATAATGTAGTGCTCCTCAGCAGTTATTTTGACATTGTGTAATGTCATACAATTAAGATACATTTTATCATTTTATGATTCTTATATACTGAGTTTGATACTATTTTCATATCTGAAAGATAAGTAGAATGTTTTATAACACTCCGTTTTTTTGGTAATTTATATTTTAAAGAGAATAAAACCAAGCACAATGAAACAGAATAAAACTAAATCAAAACAAAACTCTGACACAGGATTTCAAAACAAGATAATAGGAAATCAACAATGGTTTCCATAATGCCTCTTCAAGATAGCTGTCCATACCTTCAGACATATTAAAGTCAAGCAAAACAGAATAGAATAGAACCAATAAAACAATGTGGAGTTCAAAACAAGATAATAGTAAACCCCAAATGGCTGCCATACTAAATATTGTTATATTTGAAATAGCTGCCCATGCCATCAGATATAAAATCAAGCAAGACAAAACAGAATAAAATTCAACCAAATAAAACAGTGAAAATGATACAGGACTTCAAAACAAGATAAGAAGCTGACAATGACTGTCACCTTCAGAAGGAGATTCCCCCCTAGATGCCACACTGTGTACCATTATCCTCTGCATAGATGATCAGACCACTTGGCTTTAGACCTGCAAAGTCAGTGAAAAACTAAACACTCTGAGCATTAAGTTGTGTTTTACCTCAATAGCTATCCTCTCAGCCTGTGTTTCTCCAGATTAGGCGATTGCTTACACAAGGGTGGGGTGGAACACATTGCCTCTTCTTGTCTCCCTGTCCGTGCTGGAAGCGGCTGGTGTCTAATTCTCCTTCCTGAGGTTTGTGCTTGGTGCCAACTCAGGAGGTGCTTGACTTCTTGTTGGCTTCTTCCTCCCCCACAAATGGCACTGACTCCCAGTGGCCTGTGCATAGCACAGTAGCACTCCCTGATTATTGATTGAATGGGCATTTTATAAGTGTTAAATACTGCACTGTTATTTTGACACAAGGGTCATCCATAATGACTAGTTTTTTTTTTTTTTTAAGAAGGTACTGTGTTCTAAATATTTATGTCTTTCTCCTCCATTCATATGTTGGAATACCAACAGGAGTGATGGTTTTGGAGGTGGAACCTTTGGAGGTGATTAGATCATAACAGCAGAAACCTTCATGATTGAGATTAGTACCCTTGGAAATAGCCCAGGGAGAGTGTTCATCTTTTTACCATGTGAAGATACAAAGAGAATACATTGTGAAGGCATGTTCTATGAACCAGAAAATGGATCCTCTACAGACACCTGATTTTGTTAGCCCCTTAATGATGGTTTTCACAGCCTCCAGAACTGTGGGTAATTCATTTCTGTTGCTTGTCAATATGTGGACAGAAAGCTGTGATACCTTTTCTTACTAATCATGAAGGTCAAGCTTCATATTTCCTTAGATTCTGAATAGATTGTTATCCGCTCTTTATTCCCTTTTGGTTCCAGTAGACTTTTGAAATACAAAGAAAATGAAAGTGTTGTCCAAGAATATTGCTATCAGTTGAGACCATCTCAGTGATATATGCTTTTCAATGCACTAATTTCTCTTTATCTTAGTTTTATAATTCAGACTTTTGTGCTAAATTATTCATGTTAAGTAGATTTTTGATTTTCTAAAATAAGTGGGATTAAGGCCCTTATAAAAGAGAAAGCTAGCTTACCTCTTTTAGCATGTGAAGATACAATAAGCATCATCATCTGCGAACCAGAAGATGGGCCCTGGCCAGGCATCACATCTTCTAATAGGTTAATCTTAGACTTTCCAGCTTCCTAAGAACATTTTCAGTTTCTTCTCAGGAAGTAATACAGGTTTAGATTTTAATTTTAAGTCTTCAACTAAAATGGAGTCATCTTAGAAACCAAATCTGTAATTTTTGTGTCTTGTCTTTGCTTCTTTTTAGGACCAGGGTTCTGATCAAGCAGGAAAAAAGAAGGCAAAAGGTAAAGAAAATTTTTTGTGCTGGTTTTTTTTTTTTATTTAAAGAAAGAAAAAAAACAGTAAAAGGGTACAAGTAATACAGAATTTCAAAAAAACAGTAAAAAAATCACTAGTTAATAGATTACTTTTTGTCATCTTAGAAATGTGCTAGCCTTATCCAAATGTTGTTTTTCTGAAATATTTTTCCATCATTAATAAATTCACCTAAGTGAAACTGAAATATTTTCTCCCAACCATTTTTGCTCAGGATAACTTCAAAATAATCGTTGACTTTTTCAATCTTTTTAGTTCTAAAGTGTATCATAAATCTGACCCTATGTCACTACCCATAGTGTTAACACTGTAATTCAAATCCTCTTTACATTAGAGTACTTTCATGGCAGTGTGGTCTAAGTTCTACTTCATTTATTGTTACTACATTGACTATATTACATAGCAGATTTGAGCATGCATATACTTATGACAGAAGTATGTGTCTAAGAAAAACTCGCATATATGTACTTGGAGACATGTACAAGACTGGGTCACTGTTATTTCCAAATAGTAAAAAGAGGAGAAAGACATGCACTGAGAAGTAAGAAGAATGGAAGGATACAAACAACTGTATTGTTCGTTGGCCATAGCTTTGTTAAATTTTGACATACCCGAATAATGGTATAGCAGTGCAAATGTGTCAGCTATGTGTAATTGGTGTAGATCAATCTCAAGTACGTAATATTAAGCAAAAGAAGCAACTCATAGAAGAATCCATGCAGTAATATTCCTTTTAGAAAAACAGGAAGATAAACAAGAAACCAAAACCCAGTATATCAATATGACTAAAAGTAGTAAAATGTAAAGAAAACCAAGTGACAGTTATGATATTTGGCCTCTCTAGATCATCTTTCTTTCCAACTTTCACTTCCAATATACATCTCAACCTGCAGCCCCATATAGTTCTTGATCTGGTCTATAATGAACTTTATGTTGCTGAATTGAAAGAATACCTTTCAGTCCAGCATTTTACTTTTTTTGAATTTTGTTTATTTATTTTTTGTATTTTGAGACAGGGTCTCATTATGCAGGTGAGGCTGGCCGTGGGCTATTTTGTAGCCCAGATTGGTCTCGAATTTGCAACAATCCTCTAGCCTTATCCTCCCAAGTGCTGGAATTAAGGTGTGTGCCATCACACTTGGCCAGCCCAGCATTTTAATATATCATCACAACACAGTCTACTATTGCACCTTTCATGTCGAAATACGTTCCTTCCATATTTTCTTTGACACCTTCTCTAGTTTTTGTTTCTTTGATTGTTTATATTTTCAAATTGTTTTCTTAATTGTTTCTACCAAGTGAAACTTGACAGAAAAATTGAGCCTAGTTTTGTCACATGCCTTTTGTCCTATGAACACAGATTCGAGCTGAGCATGATTTTTTGCAATGAAGGGATACTCTTTTGCAGTGTGTCCTTGTTCCTGGAACCGTCTACTTCTACCCTCTTTGGCTAACTCTGACTTATCCCTATCTTAGAATCACTTCCTAAGAAACTTTCCTTGTCTTCCTGTCTTCCCCCTACTCATTCTTTCCCAGAACCATAATTTACATACCCTTTCTAAGGGTTTTGTACCCTCTCTTATTACACTCAGTTATAATTGTGTTGTCTTACGATTTCGTCCATCATAAAATACAGTATTTTAAGAAGTAACATCTTAATTCCAAAATACCATCAACTAAAGATCTAACATTGACTTAGTGATCCTAAAATCCTAAAGGTTATTTCATTGCTGAACCAGTGTGATCTTTTAAAGACATTTTAGTCGAATTTAGGGTTGTAAACCACATGAAATATGACTGTATGTTTCTATGATTTATTTTGTTCAATAGAACATTTGCTTGTTTGGTTGATACCTAGAAGATCTCTCTTAGTTTTACAAGTGTTTTAATGATTTTAGAAGTTGATTGTAATTGACAATATTCCAAGATATTAATGTGAAAAACCCTTAACCTTTTAAAAATATAATAATGTGACCGCTTTCAAATGTAACTATTTGCATTAAAGTTTTTGCCAGCCTAGAATTTTCTTACTTTTGACAGTTCACATTTATAAACCAGCTTAGGGAGTTGTATTATGAATTATTTAGTGAAAGAGAACATTTTAAAAAGAATTTATTACCGTATCTAATACTTAAAAATTGCTCAAAGATAAATATTAAATAAATGCTTTTGAACTTGATAGATTAAGGATTTAATTAGAAAAAAGATAACAAAGATACGGAAGAATAATTATAGTTCCAACAGCCAGGAAAATAAAAACTGCATGAAGCATGATAATTATTTGCAAGTGAGTTTTAAAAACACCAGTGAACATCAGGAGTCACAAAGGGATAGCAAGGAGGTAAGTGTTTTTAGATTAGTACTTGCAGACCTGTTTTTTCTTCTCACTTCAGTTGACGTTTAGTGGCACTTAGCTGTATCTTTTTAAGGCTTTTCATGTTTGCAGGGTAGCATACTCTGTAGAAAAACAAGTTTTTTGTCACATTACCAGTCTCATTAATGTTTTTTCCATGTACAGATAATTTCTAAATTTTTGATATCTGGAAATCCCTTTTTAAGTTTCTAGTTTAAAAGTTATAATAACAAAAGAAAGATTAGAAAACTTACAATCTTTAGGTAAGCTTGAAGTTTCATATAATTGACTTTATGTGTAAGCATATAAAGATGATATCACAAAATATAAAAATATTAGTGGTTTAATAGCATTAGTGCTTTTTATGTATGATTTTATCTTAAACCACCTATCTGGTACATTAAACTTTTTTTATGTACTTTAGGAATACTTTGAAAGGAATAAGTTAAAATCAAAAATGAAATTACTGGGAGTTTTGTCTCCTGTCAAAAATTCCACAGTCAGTTTAGACCTTCTCAACCTGCATATAGTAAATCAGATATCTTGTAAGAAGAAAACACCTGGTAAGTCTTTCCAGTACCATTTTGTTTTGACATTGATGTGTTTATAACAACATTTAACTTTCTGTTTAGTTTGGATTTTAGAATTCAAAGCATGTAGAAAATTTATTTTAAAACTTGGTTTGTTCTTCAATTAGAACCTTAATATTTACTTATAATTTGTTGTTTAGTCCATTTGTCTTTGTTTTCAGATTATATATGTGTTCTACAAAATTTATTTATTAGATCTTAATTTACCATGCTGTAGCATCAGTTATTGTATCACTCTTTCTAGGCAGAAAGTTACAAATGTATTTACTCATATATATATTTGCTCTTCAAGTAAAAGGAAAGATGATGATATAATGGGCCTCAGAGACAACTTGAATTAGGGAGTTCAGTGCTACTAAGTTTTTTTTCCCTGTAAGCTATTAGCTTGCTTCTTTTAGATTTATCAGTGAGATTCAAACTATGCCCTTAAGAAATTAATACTGCTAACTTCTCCTAGTTTTGCAACTAGAGAAAGAGTTATTTCTTTGTTTCCAAATTTTTAATTCTACTAATGTCTAAGGCCCTAGTAGTGGAACTATTTAATTTAAAACCTGAGGGTTAGGTTTATCATTCATCAAATGACTACCCCTAAGCCAGTTGTTTTGCCCAGAAAGAGAATGTTTTAAAGGAAGATAGAAAGTCTGCATTAGGGCCGGGGATACAGCTCAACAGCACAGTGCTTGTCTTGCAGGCCCAAAGTTCTGAGTTCGATTCCCAGTACCAAAAAAAAAGAAAAAGAAAAAGCCTGCATTAGAAATATATTATGGTAATGAGTATTAAGAAACATTTTTCAGAAAAGATGAATAGGTAAAAGTATTGAACAGACAAAACTATGTCTTCTATAAAGAGAAACAAGTCTCCACTGTTTATAGTTTAAAGTCTAATGAAGGAGATAAAAAGTAGTCAAGAATAATAAAGTACGCAAAGTGCTGTAATAGCGAAAGTATATAGCATGCTGAAAATATATGGCAGAACATCCTGCAACAGAAGGATTAACTAGGACTGAATTAGTAGGGCCCAATTCTTGAAGAGTGTGTAAGATTAAGAAATATTTTTAAATTATGTAATAGTTAATACTGTAATGACTTTTTCTAGCAGATCTAGAAAGTGTTTAGTAAAATTTCTTTGATTCATATTTACTTAATAAATGTGATATATCAAACAGTGCTTTAAAATTTTTATCTTTGAATTATAGTTTAACATTTTTTCACTGTAGAAGCTGTAAAGAAACCAGTTCATGTGAATATGAATAGAGACATAAAAATGCCTCTAAGACAGTATGAGTTAGAGCTTCCAGTGTCACCTCCTCGTTTGCCTTCTAAACTCTGCCTCGATGATACAGAGAACAAGTGAGTTTTAGCTGATGTTTTATTACTAGATGTTTCATTATTTGTTGATACTTTTATTTACTGTGAAATATGCAAGATGCTTACCTTCTTGCTCCAGTTTTTATTTACCTAATGGTATTATAAAACTATTAGGACTTTTATTAAATGGCTTACATATTTTGTACAAATTTTTATCATAAAAATGTTTAATTCTCATAAAACTCAGTAATGTTATGACCTTAGAATGATTTACTTACAGTTTTGTAGAAATTTGCTTATGTAGGACATTGTTTTAAATACATAAAAATATTATTGCTTTTTATATTTTTCACCTTAAAATGTTCTTTTCTGTAGTACTCACTGTCAAAAACTAGGTAACAAGGAAGGATGTGGCCCAGTTCAGGTAAGACTTTAAAACATTTTTTTCGTAAGATATTTTAACAATTGTGACATTCCACTAAATAAATTTTTGAATTTTGGGGAAAATTATCCTTTAAAAATTTATGCTCTTTTAAATGATTATTAAAAAGCTTTCCAGTGTAGAAAACCCATATTTTAAGGATATTTTAATCGATAGCTTGTGAGAATCCTTTCAGGATATTGGAAATGTGACTTGGCCTAAATGTATGTAACATTGATTCTGCTTGTTAGTGAAGAGTTGCAAAAGACAATTCACTTAGGGTATTTTTTTTTAAATTCACATGTTTATTGAACAATTTATTTCTTCAACATTATTTTATATCAAATTATGCTATTTGGTCCTCACCTTTATCTCAAGATGATTTTTCTTCAAAATGTAACAAGTATTTCTTAGTAAGCAAAATTTAACTAACTTGAAATGTGTATTGTTATGAAAGCTTGAAATTTTGTTTAATTCCATATTATTAGTGCTTCTTTTTTCCCTTTATTTGCCAGAATGGTAATAGCAGTGACACTGAAATAATCCTTTGAGAATCCCATACCTTGATAGGTAGATTAATGATACTTGGATTTCCTGTCATCAGAGAGGAGCAGACAGGAATGAAACTTGGGGGTAGACAGGAGCAGAAGGTAGGAAGACAGAGGGAAAGTAGTTACTGAGTAACAACTTAGTTGATGACCACTTTCATTTAGTGAATCCTGTCACAGACTTGCCTTTCCTTAGGACTTTTTCTTCTGTAACCTCTGCCTTTGTCACTTACTTTAGTTTTATTATTTTTTAAATTAAGTTTATTGGTACGTTTAGGTATACCTAGTGATCATATTCATCAGAGGAAATTTGTACCTGTGTGTGATATATATTTATTCTTTTTTTTTCCTGTTCCCTTACTCTCCATTCAACTCTTCCCTTCTTTATTTATAAAACTTTTCCTTTTTTTTTCTTTCCTTTTTAGTTTGTATTTTTCTAAGTGGTTTTATGTTTTTTTCCTATAGTCATCAAAAATTAAGGACTCATATAGTATGTTTGAACCTCATTTCATCAGAACAAAGAACTGCAGTTTTGCTCCACCAATCTTTTCAACAGAATTATCTTCTGATAGACATATTCCAAAACAAAATTTCACTCCCACAGTAGTGCCTAGTCCTCTGAAGGTTGCATTTGAAAAAAAACAAAATGACCAGGTATGTTTGAATTACTAGTTTTTAACATTTTTACATCAGTGTATTTGTATAATACATTTTTCTCTTTTTATGGATTTAAAATTCATAGATTGCCAATTGATATAACTATAACCAAGGTAGATAAATTAAGAACATAATTCATCTTTGGTCAAAAGATTTTCTGTACTGCAGAAGTTTATGAATCCAAAAATGAGAATGTTTTGTAAAAACCTTAGAAATTATAATTCTTTTAGAAAATTGTTAATAGAAAGTTGAAAATAGTTCAGTGTGCTGTATATTAGTTATGTTTCTAATCACTATAAATGACTGATGATATCATGGTGACTCAATATACATACATTTTTAAAAATTTAGATTTATAGGTTTAAAAATTTTAAATTCTAAAGTATCTACTAGAATATACATAGAGCCAGGCATGCTGGCACATGCCAGTGATACCAGCACTCAGGAGACTGAGGCAGGAGGATCAACATGAGTTCGAAGCCACCTTGGCCTACGCAGTGAGTTCAAACCAGCCTGTACTACAAACGCAACCCTGTCAAATATGGAAAAGACAAAACAGAATATACATAGAAATAATCAACTACATAGATATAATTTAAAAATAAAAATATTACTTTAGTGTGTAATGATACTGGCAATGAAAAAGTTATATAAATATGTCTTGTTAAGAATTAGTGACCGGGGCTGGGGATTTAGCTCAGTGGCATAAGCACCTGCCTTGCAAGCAGGCGGTTGTGAGTTCGATCTCCGGTACCGATAAAAATGAAAAAAAAAAAAAAAAAAAGAATTAGTGTCCTTCGTGGTGGTGCATACCTGAAACCCCAGCACTTGGGAGGCTGAGACAAAAGGATCAGAGAGTTCAAGGCCAGCCTCAACTGCATAGTAAAAACCTATCTCAAAAAGATAACCAAAAAAAAAAAAATCAGACTTTAAAAATGAATTAGTTTTAATTTGTCTTATTTGTAGCATGTACAACTTTTGTGCCATATTTATCTATATTATTTATAAAAAAATCGGAAATGTGTAAAGTCATGAAATAGTACTTACATGTTAACTTTTCTTTTCTTTTTTGTCTTTTTGAGACAGGGTCTCGCTATGCAGTTCAAGCTGGCCTTGAGCTCACTTTGTAGCCCAGAATGGTTTCGCAGTGATCCTCCTGCCTCAGCCTCCAAAGTGCTGGGATTACAGGCATGAGCCACCATGCCTGGCTCACTATGTTAATATTATATGTAGTAAAATATATACTTCAATTTTATTTAAGTTTTTATCAAAGTGTGTTTTACTGTTTGTTGGAGAAAATTAGCTGTTGAGTTTCTGTGATAGGTGTTAGCCTTATTAAAGGATCCAAAAATTTTTGAATGATATAATTGAAAGACAGTCATTTACTCATTTACTTGTAAGACAAAACCTTGCATTACAGATCAAATTATGATTCATTCTTGCTGTTGTGTAGTTTGTTTTGCTGGGTGATTGCTACTGTAACAATCTCCCCTACCCTATATGTTGTATGCACTGCACATTAGTGATAAACTCTGGACAGGTAAAAAGCCTTATACCTAGTAAGACAGAAGACTGAAAAGAGTGGCTGTACCCTTCTTCAAATCAAGATGTCACATCTGAAATATGAGTGAAGTATTTAATAGCTTACTTGGAGAGATTCCTAGAGCAGTTAGAATTAAAATATTATATTCACTTTTATTTTTCCTGTCTGAAACCAGGGCTTGCTAGACAAGTACTGTTTTACCACTGAACTCCTCCCCTCTTCTCCTCCAATCTGTTAGTGTGTTCATATGTCACTTCCATATTGACTTTGTCTTTGCCACTCTGACACAGTCTCTTTCTGAGACTGAGATACAGGAGTGAGATGAAACTTAATATCAGCTGTCCCTGATTTATGTCCATTTAAAATCTTTTTCCACTAGAGACATTCAGTGTCTTTACCTTTCCTTCATTCCCTTCTCATTTTTTTCCCTGAGACGTCTCACTGTTGCTGAGCCTGGTCTCAAACATTGACATACGTGACCCTCAGCCTCAGCCTCTCCGATGTGTGTGCTGGGATTGCAATTCTGCACAACTGTGCACATTTTGACTCTGCTCTTTTTTCTGATTCTATAAATGATTGCTTTGGATTTCCCATTTCTGTGTTTCATGGGCTATAAGTGAAATATGCTATAGTTATACATTATTACTAAATTAATGTTGAGGTAGCTTATTAAGTTACGTTTATATACTGCCTTCCATATTAAAAGTGGATGTTCCTCTGGTTTCCATGGTAGTCTTCACCCAATTTGCATTGAGTGATATTCACAAAAGTAATGTAGTGGTCTAAAATTAATAAATGGAAGAATTGAGATAATTACAGCAATTTCCTTGAAACAGACTATTGTTTTCTGTCAGAAAATTTAACTCAAGATCATAGTGTTTTTTGTTTTGTTTTTGCAACCTTTTTTGAACTAAGGAAATAGTTTATTATATTTTCTCTGTTATTTTAACCATCATTCAGATATTGACAATGTTTTCATTGTTAGAAAAGTATTATATTTTTAATAGGACTAAAATTTCTTTTGGACTAAAAATACACGCTTAAATATAGGTATGGTTTACTTAAATGATATTTTTAATAAACAATTTAAATTGTATGTATGTACATTTACTATTTTGACGTTTCCTCCCATTTTTTCAGCTAAATAATGTTAACTGTTCTGATTCCTTGGTTTCCAAATTAAGTGAATGTCAAGATGGTCTCAGTTCATCATATGAAGCAGCAAAATGTGGAATATTATTTGAACAATTAAACAAGTAAGCAAGGATGGTGAGGGAAATAAACAAGTATAGCATTCTGTACTCTCAATTAATTTGATGTTACAGATCACAAACATTTGTCTTTAGACATAAACAGACCAACTAATATTTTTAAATCACTTATAAAAATCAAATGTATCATTAAGTAGTTTTTAATTTTTTACATTTCTTTTAAGACATATCAATTATACATATTAATGAGATTCATTGTGATGGTTCTGTGCATGCGTATTGTTGATCAAATCCAATCTTTCTTTTCCACTATTCCCAGCTGACACTGTTCCCATTGTCTACTAGTTAGTATTCTACTTTTCACTTTTATTAACTTTCACATGTGGGAGTCATGTGGTTCTTGTGTTACAGTGTCTGGCTTTTTTCACTTAACCTAATGTTCTTCAGTTTCTTATACTCTGCTGCAAATGACAACTTATTTTCATACATTATTATGGCTGAATAATAACTCAATGCGCATAGGTACCATATTTTCTTCATGTTTATCTTAGCCACTGTGAATAGTGTTGCAGTAAACATGGACTTGTAGGTATCTCTTTGATGTGCTGATTTCATTTCTGTTCTGGATAGCTGATCATATGGTAGATTTACACTTAGGGGTTTTTTATTTGTTTTTGAGAAACCTCAATGTAGTTCTTCATAATGGCCATAGTAATAGTCAATAGACACTATTTTAACATTCTTGCTTTTAATATTTTTGATAATAACTAGAAACTGGGTTGAGATAGTATCTCATTATAGTTTTGATTTGCATTTCACTGATGGCTAATGATAGCATCTTTTCACATTTGTTGGCCATTTCTGCTTTTTCTTTTGAGAAGTGCCTGGTCAGATCATGTAAACATTATTTAATTAGGTTACTTTTTTGTCAGACTTTTAGAGTTCCTTATATATTGTGAATATTAGTAACCCTTTGTCAGATGAATAGTTTGCACATATTTTCCCATTTTTTTTGTTTGTTTCTTGTCTTCTGTTTCCTTTGCTGCACAGAAGCTTTTTAATTTGCTATAAGCCTTTTGTTAGTATATGATTATATTTCCTGTGCTTCTACGGCCTTATCCAGAAAATCATTGCTTATTGGGTTACTCTGATATTTTGGAATATTTCACCTATGTTTTCTCCTAGTAGCTTCAGAGTTTCACATCATGTTTTAAGGTCTTTGATTCATCTTAAGTTAATTTTTGTACAAAGTGAGAGATACCAGTCATTTCAGTTTTCTGCATGTAAATATATAATTTTTTTAGCACCATTTATTGAAGAGGCTTTTCTTGCTCCAAAATATATTTTTGCTCCTTTGTGAAAAATTTGTTGGATGTAGGTGAATGCGTTCATTTTTGGGATCTCTATTCTGTCTAGTTGAGCTCTGTTTCTATTTTTATATTAATTCCATGTTGGTTCAATTACTATGACTCCATAGTGTATCTTGAAGTGAGGTATTGTGATGACTCTATCTTTGTTCTCTTAGTTCAGGATTACTTTGACAATTTGGGTTCTTTGGTGCTTCTGTATATGAGTTTTAGGATTTTTTTCTAGTTCCTAAAGAATGTCATTTGTATTTTGATGGAAATTACATTCACTCTTTGATCATTTTGTGTAATATAGATAGTTTAATAGTATGAATATTTCTAATCTAAGAACATGGAAGACCTTTCTGTCTGTGTCTCCAATCTTTTTCATCAGTGTTTTGTAATTTTCATTGTAGAGATTTTTTCCCTTGTTACATTTATTCCTAAGCATTTTATTATCTATTTTTGGTAATGAATAGGGATTCTTTCTTTCTTTGCAGATTTATTATTGGTTTATAGAGAGCCTACCTATTTTCATGTATCTTTTGTATACTTTGATAAGTTTATCAGTACTAATAGTCTTTTGGTGAACTCCTTAGATTTCCCTATATGTAGAATTTATAGCAAATACAAACAAAGATAATTGCACTTCTTTCCTTCCTAGTGGTATGCCTTTTATTACTTTGTCAGTTTTTCTAGCCAAAACTTCTAATATGATTTTGGATAATAGAGATGAGTGTGGGCGTCATTATTTTGCTCCTTTTCAGAGGAAACTTTTTGAGATTTTTTTATGTCTTCGTGGTTCAGTTTTGGCAGGTCATATCTAGAAATTTGCCCATATCCTCTGGTTTCCCAATTTGTAAGTCTATCATTTTTCATGACACTCTCTAATGATCTTTTGTAATTCTGTGGCATCAGTTGCATTGCTTCTTTTTCCAACTCTTAATTTCATTTATTTGGGTCTTCTCTCATTTTCTTAGTCTACCTATAGGTTTGTCAGTTTTGCAGGACATGGTGGTGCATGCTTAATAATCCCAGCACTCAGGAGGCTACTGCTGGAGGATTGCCAAAAATTTGAGGCAGCCTGGGTTACAAAGTGAGTTCAAGGCCATCCTGAACTACACAGCAAGATGCTGTCTCAAAAGACCAAAAGAAAGAAAAATCAATTTTGTTAATCTTCTCAGAAAACTAATTCTTTTTCATTCATCTTTTGTATTGTTAGTCTGTATTCATTTCTTCTTGGAACTTTAGAATTAATTTTATTCTATTGATTTAGGTTGGATTTGTGATTTTCTAAGTCTTTGGGACTGCATTATTAGGATGTTTATTTGAAACTTGCCCTTTTTTTTTAACTTGTAGCACTTAATGTTTTTAATACTTTTTAAAATTTATTAAAACATTTACTAGTAAGTATATGTTTATGCTACTCAGTGATTACATTCATCTTTGGAGGTTGACACATATACATAGTGCATCTTTATCATTTTTATTCCCTAACCGCTTGTCCTCCCCTCTGCCTTCTTGTCCATATCATCTTACCATAGCTACAGAGTAGAACCTCTGTATTGTTTTGATTTGCATTTTTCTAATGGCCAAAGACTAACCATTTCTTCACACACTATTTGTATTTCTTCAAAGAAATGTTTATTTCAAATGCCCATTTTTAAAATCAGGTACTCGATTTGGGGAGAGTTCTAATTTTTTTGAGGTTTTTTTTCTCTGTCCAAGGAATAACTAATAAAATGTTTTTTTTTCCTTCTGTAGGTTGTCTCCTCATACTGGTGATTGTTTCCTTTGTTTTGTAGAAGCTTTTTAATTTGATATAATCCCATTTGTTGATTATTGGTAATATTTCTTGGGCATTTGGGATTCTGTTCAGGGCAACCTTGCTTATGTTTGTTTCTTTAAGAGTTTTACCATTTTTTTCTTCTGACAGATTCAGTGTTTCTGTTACATATATATACATATATATATGTGTGTGTGTGTGTGTGTTTCTGTTATATATATTTTGATTTGATTTTACATATATATTTATATATATGTGTGTATATATATGTATCTGATTCATTTTGATTTGATTTTAGTAGAGTGAGATGGATAAAATTTGTTGTTCTTCATATGGATAACCAATTTTCCCAGCACCATTTGTTAAAGAACCTATATTACTGCCCCTTTTTCAAAAATCAGAATGTTGAAGTTGCTGCGGGGTTATTTATGCATCCTATATTCTATTGTATTGATAAACATGTCTTTTTATCAATATCATGCTATTTTTACTACTGTAGCTTTCTAGAGTAATTTGAAATCTGGGATTGCAATATTTTGCTCTTTTTTTGCCCAGGATTACTTTGTTTATGTTGGGTTTCTTCTGTTCCATATAGATTAAAGAACTGTATTTTTCTGCTTCTGTGAAAGAGCTGATGGTAGTTTTAGAAATGCACTAAATTTACATGTAATTTTTGGTAACATGGCCATTTTCATGGGCTTCTGAAATCTGAGTGGAAGATGTCTTTCACAATTCTTGCATTCTGCACGTGCCTAAAACCAGCACTATGTGGATAATGTAAAAGTCCAACGGGGAGCTTGTCGTTGAGGGTGGGGGAGTTGATTCTGAGCCACTGCCAGTAGCCTCACAGGAAGCACTAACTTTTCTCTTCCTGGAAGCAATGCGGCTTGTGTGGCTTACCCGAAAGCCTGATTGGTTGGCTTCTTGTTGGATGCTCCCAGTCGTAGCATCAAGATGAAATCTTAATATTGTTTTAATTTGCATTTCTCTAATAGCAATGTTGAGCATTTTTTCCATGTATTTTTTGACCGTTTGTGCTTCATCTGTGTTTTTTCATTTCATGTGCCCAGTTTTTGATTCGGTCTTTAAATTTGGAAGATCTAATTTTTTTGAGTTTGTTATATATTTTAGATGTTAGTCCTTTGAGGAGTAGCTGGTAAATTTTTTAATTGATTTTTCTCTTCACTTTGTTGGTGGTTTTCTTTGATGTGCAGAAGCTGTGATTTATTGTGATCCCATGTGTTGATTCTTGGTATTATTTCTTGTGCAACATTCAGAAAGTCTTTGCCTATACCTGTCTTTGAGAGTTTAATCTGTTTTATTTTTGTAGCAGTTGGTTTTTGTTCCAAAGTTGAAATCTTTGATCCATTTTATTTTAGTTCCATGCCTGGTGACAGATGGATCTAACTTCAGCCTTTGACCTGTGGCTCACCTTTTGCCCGCATCATTTAGTAAAGAGCCTATCTTTCTTACAGTTAAGAGATCTGGCCCCTTTGTCAAAGATTGCAAAGCTGAGTATGCCTGAAATTGTGCCTGTATCTTCAGTTCTAGTCCATTGATCGATAAGTGTAGTTTATTTGCCAATATCATGCTGCTTTCATGCCTAACTTTGCAGGATAATTTGAGGTCCAGAATTCTGATGACCCCTGTCTTGCCCTTATTCCTAGAATTGCTTTTGCTATGCTGTGTCTCTTCAGAGTCCATATGGAAGTTTGAATTGTTTTCTCCAGTTCTGCAAGAAATGTTACTGGTATTTTGATCACTTAAATCTATATAACGGTTATGGAAGTATGAACCTTTTGCCTATGTGGTTCTCCTCTCCAGGAAACGGGGACCATCTTTCTATTTTCTGGTATCCACTCCAATCTCCTTTGTTTTTGTTGTTGAAGTCTTTCACTTTCTTGATTACATTAATTCTTAAGTATTTCATTTTTCTTGATGCTATTGTAAAAGTTACTATTTCTCTAATTTCCTTCTGAGTTTGTTTTTGGTATACAGGATTGGTATTGATTTTTTAGGGTCAACTTTATATCCTGCAACCCTGGTGAATTTGGTGGTTAGTTCTAAGAGTCTTGGTAGAGTTCTTAGGGTCTTTTATGTGGAAAATCATATCATTGGCAGATAATGTAGTTTAACTTTTTTCCATATCTCCTTTTTTTCTTTCTTTTGTCTAATTGTTCTAGCTTGTGTTTTGAGAACTATGTAGATCAAAAGTGCTGATAGCTGACATCCTTATGTTGTTCCTGATTTTAGAGAAAATGATTTCAGCTTTTCTCTGTTGACTATGATGGTGGTCAATGTTTTGTCATAGGTGGCTTTAATCTATTCCTTTTAGTTGAAGTTTTTTTAAATCAAAATTTTGAATTTTGTGAAATGTTTTTTCTTTTTATAGTGAGATGATCGTATGATTTTTGTTCTTGCTTCTGTTTATGTGATAAATTACATTTATTGATTTGTATCTTAAATCGTTATCCCTGCATCTCTAAAGTTAGTCCTACTTAGTCATGATGATTACTTTTTTTGATGTATTGTTGCATTCTGTTTGCCAGTGTCTTATTAAGAATTTTTGCATCTGTTATCATTAAAAAGATTGGTCCTCTCCCTCTCTCTCTCTCTCTCTTTTGTCTTTTTGAGACAGGGTCTATCTGCAGATCAGGCTGGCCTTGAGCTCACTTTGTAGCCTAGGCTGGTCTCGAACTCCCAAGGATCCTCTTGCCTCAGCCTCCCAAATGCTGGGATTACAGGCGTGAACCACCACGCCTGGCTAGTTATCTCTCTCTCTATTTTTTTTGGTTGGGTCCTTTTTTGGTTTTGGGAGCTGTATAATGCTTGTTTCTAGGAATGACTTTGGGAGTTATGTTTCCCTTTCCATTTCATTAAAGAGTTTGAGAAGTATTGGTATTTGATCTTTTCTAAAATTTTTGTAGAATTTGGCAGTAATTGGTTGTGACCTGGGCTTTTCTTAGTAGTTTTATTTTAGTACCTCTTCAGTTTCATTAATTGATACTGGCTTTTTAAAATTTTTTTTCTTGGTTCAACTTTGGTAATTCATACAAATCTAGGAATTTAACCATTTCTTATGAGTTATTCATTTAGTAGAGTACAGGTCCTCAAAGTAGTTACCAATAATATTCTGGATTTTTGGGAGATTCCTTTGTGATTTAATCTTTTTCATTTCTAATTCCCTAGATTTGAGTAAATGGTTTCAAAGAAACAACTCTTCAATTCATTGATTTTTTTTTTACATTAGATTGATTACATTGATTGAATTACATTGTTTCTGCTCTGCTTTTTATAATTCTGTCCTTGAACTGGATTTACATCTCAGTTGTTTCTATTTTTCTAGGGCCTTGAAGTTCATGATTAGGCAATTTATTTTAATGCATTCTGTTTTTCTAATGTGGGAATTCACTGCTATAAACTTCCCTCCTACAACTAATTGCTTTCATTATGGCCTATAGGTTCTGGTATTCCTTACTGGAATTACTGTTTAATTGTAGAAACTGTATAATTTCTTCTTTAATTTCCTGTGTGATCTAATGATCATTCAAGAGGGTATCATTTAATTTCTGTATGTTTGTATATCTTCTGTGGTGTCTTTTGCCAATGATTTCTAGTCTCACTACGGTATGATCTGATAATATGCATAAAATAATTTCAGTTCTTTTGTATTTGCTTAAGCATGCTCTATGGGCTTATAGGTGGTCCCTGTTGGAGAAAGTCCCATGTGCTGCTGAGAAGAATGTACTCTGGTGATTTTTAATGGAATACTAAAAATCCATTAGGTGCATTGGTTTGAAGGCCTGGTTCAGTTCTGATATTTCTTTGATGATTTTTGTTTTGCTTAGTTCAATTGTCCCTTTGAAAATGGGGTATTGAGAGCCCCCATTACAATTATACTGGTGTTCATATGATGTTTCATGTTCATTAGTGTTTGTTTCACGAAGTTGGTTTCACTGGTATTTGGTGCACATATAAATCATGTTGAACTGTTTCCTTAACCCATGTGGTGACTTTATCTTTTCTGATCAATATTGGTTTTATTTTGTCTGAAATTATGATAGCAGCCCCTATTTTCACTATATCTCTTATAGAATAAACCTCTAGGAACCCAGGAGGAAGTGTGCAGATTGCCCCATCTTTTTTCTGCATTATATTTAGTCTCTTCATCTTTGAGGCTGTAGCTTTCCCATCAGATTCTTTCTTGTTTCAGGACTTTGCTTCTCTCCTTCTTTTCTTAGTTAGGTTATTATTTTCCAGTGTCTGGATTCTGAATCTTGGAGAGGCCAATTTGTGGATGCTTATTACTACTTTGTCGTCTTTCTGAAGTCCCTTTTTTTTTTTGTCTTTTTTTCTTTTTATCGGTACCGGGGATTGAACTCACAACTGCCTGCTTACAAGGCAGGTGCTTATGCTGCTGAGCTAAATCCCCAGCCCCCTAAAGTCCCTTTTTAAGTTCTTTCCATCATTTTTCTGTCATCTCCAGAAGTAAAAACATTCAGTCCCCAAATCAGATGCCATATACCTCATTTTTTAAGCAAAAAAAAAATTTGTTCTGATTTCTAGTATATTATTTGATTCTGGGATAACATCTATCAATTAGCAATTTTGCCTTGCATTTTAATGTTGTACATTTCTTGCTGGTAATAACTGTAGATTACACATGTCTGTGTTCTCTAGCTCTTAGTGACTGATTTTTCTGTGTCAGAATGCTTAAAGAACTTTGAAAAAGTGATTTACATTTACAGTGTGTTTTATAATTTATGAAGTCTTTCACATTTATTCTCATTTAGAGTAATAGGCATTTCTCTGATATTAATAGTGTGTGTTCTTACTCTTAAGTTGTATTTTTAGTACAACAAACTAGCATTTTATTGGTTAAAACAGCAGTAAGACCCTTGGTGAGATACAGTGTGCGATTATGAGTTTATCAGCAAGTACCAAATTAAGTTGTTTTATCTCTTTATCCCAAACACATGGCCTTGTACCTGGAACACAATTGTTTCCTGTTAAATATTTAATATATAATTTAAAAACTTCAATCGGAAAGCAAAGTTTTAGGCAGGCACTGTGCCACTGAGCTATTTCCCCGGGCTTTGGAAATCAGTTTTAGCAGTCTCTGTGTCTCTTTTCAAAATTTCATTGGTACCTCCAACCTCTGGAACAATCCAGTCACAGATAAGTTTGGAGGTACTGGCAATAAAATTTTAAAAATTCTCTGCCTTTTAATTATTTTATTATAACTTCGATTCTTAACACAAGTTGAACTATCATTATCATATCTACAGTTACCATTAGAAATGAATTTACAAGTTACCTAATTTATCTGGATTCTCATCTAATTCACCTTATTTCTTGACTTTATTACCTATGTACCCATTTGTATCCATGTTTGTTTTCTTTGTGAGACTTATAGCTGTTTTTATCTCCTTATTGTGCTGAGAAATATCTGTTTCAATGTTGTAATAACTATTTGATTTGATAATATTACACAAGATAACGTGCACAGTTTTCAGAATGTTTTTCTCTGGTTACATGGGGCAACAGTGACATACAGTGGTTATTTAGGTTATTTGCTGTATAGAGCATGTTGTTACCTCTGTACTTTTTCAACAAGAAGTTGAGCTATGCTCTAATTTTTCATGTTGAAGTATAAGGCAGCAAGTAATTTTTTTCAACAGATCTATAGAAAAGGGGATTAGGTGTTTCTATCCAAAACAGTATTATTTACTTAAATATTTAAAAAATTAAATAAATGTTACTAGCTACCTGTTGCTTTCTAATGATTTAATTTAATGTTGGTATTTGTAAATGATAAGGATTGTAGTTTTCTTGGAAAATAATTTTTTATGTATTCTGAAGTCCAGGAAATGGGAGTTTCCTTACTAGAAGACCTGGTATACCTTTGGGTGAAGATTGGAAAAGCATGAATGAAAGACAGTCAGATTTCGTTTTTGAAAAACAAGCAGCGCAACGTATTTGGGGACAAAGTTGGGAAGAAATTTCAAATTTTTTTGAAGATGTGAACCAGGCAACTCATAGTATTCTGTCAGAGAATTGTGGCTCTTATGTTGATCAAAACATGATCAATTTATTAAGTATAGATCAACAAATGATGCAGAAAACTTTTGACAAGTGTATTTATGATAATTTGGGGAATACTTGTTTAGTCACTAATTTTGGTGAAAACCAACCCACTGATGGATGTGTTAGGAGCATTTTTACAGTTCCAGAGTCAACTTTTACTGATCCTGCATTTAATAAAACAAGTTGTCCCGAAAAATATCAGCCAAACAAGAAGTATCAGAGAGAGCACAACAGTAATGAAATACATGATCTCAGAATTTTTCTTGAGGATTCTTACCCAGCCAGTTATGAAAAACAAGGTTGGTATTATATTTGGAAAGTGTAATAATCTATGCTTTGTTTTTAGCTTTATTTTATATGTTTTATGTGTATGTGTATATTCACACACACATAAACATTGAACTCTCTGTAGCAGATTAACCATGTTCTATTAAAGTTATTTTAAACCATTGAGTATTGCATATATGTGGTCTTTTTTGCCATTATTCTTTGACCAATACAAAATAATATCTATTTATATAGCATTTACATTGTGTTATATAAGTGATTTAGAGTATGTAAACTATACAGGAAGATATGAGTAGGTCATATGGCAGATACTAAGACATTTTAAGTAAGAGATTTTGCATTTTGGTATCTGTAGAAGTGGTTAAAGGAGGTCCTGTTTCCCTATAATTGCCAAGAGATAACTGTAGTATATATGTTTGGAGAATATGAAGCCAAAAATAGCATTCCTATTATATGACATCGTGGACCAGCAATTTTCCTCTGTATGTGTTATGGTAAGGTGCTTTGGTTCAGTGAAAATAGAGCATGCTAAATTTTTAGCTCAGTAGTTTTATTTTTGCAGGAAAACATAATGATTACCACGAGAAGATGCCGCAGAAGAATAACCAGGAAAATCCAGTAAACTCTGTGTAAGTTTTTAGTGCATTTAGGGAATTGTATTAGGTTGCAGCATGTTGAAAGATGTACTGGTGCAAAATGGCATAGGTCTATCACTGAGTGTGAGCTGCCAGGCCACAAAGAATCCTTCCTGTATTCACAGTCTCAGTGATATCACTCTCACTGAGAATGTGGTGTTCACATTTGCCAGCTTGCAAATACCTTCTTATCTGAATATTACTCTTGAGAAACTGTCTTACATGTTCATATAGCCACCAGAATGTCAGTTTACTTATTTACACTAAGAAATAGAAGCCTCATGTATATAGGACTGCTTCCTGGCACGAAGAACATATCTTCTTTAGAATCTCCTGGGAAGGTTGTATGGTTGGTAGACAATCAGAACAAAGAATAATAGAGTTGATGTCAGTGGCGTAAATATGCATATCAGCCAGCAGCGGTTTATGGAACAATGTATATTGTAGAGCTTCTCTTCATTGTCAACATGTACCTCTCAGAGACGCCTTATGTCCTCTGTGTTCAAGATTACTATCTTCACCTCATCATTGTGGCATTTTTATATGAAAACAATTATGCCCTATCAGATCTTGCTGCTGGTGTACAAAATGTATTTAATGGAATTTTAATTAATCTATTAATGCTTGATATTTAACTTTTCTTTAGTTTTGGGGCCTGTCCTTTACTGATTCCTTTACATAATGACCTACAATTACCATGGTACCTTAGCTCACAAACTTAATTCTTTACACAACTCTAGTCACAAACCAAATTGGACGAGAACCAAACAAATTTTCCCAATAAGGTCAGTGCTGAACCTAACCAACGAATTTGATTCGGTTCTTGCCCAATTTGGTTTGTGACTAGAATTAAGGAAAGGATTAGGTTTATGAACTGAGGTACCACTGTATCGGTAAAGAAATATTTATTTCAGCTAGTAGTTTCTGAGTCATTCTTTCTTAGTAATAATTAGCCATATCTTTGGTTTTTTAGTCTTTATTGTAATAGGATCTGTGCTACAGCACAAGGAGGGAAGTACCCAGGACCTTCCTAGACTAACACCCAATTTTTCGTATCTTTACAACTGGAATAATTAACTAGAGCCTATTTTTATCTTGGATATGATTCCTAGGGAAATCTTTAAAATATCTGTATGCCACTTTTATGGGAGGAGCATATACAATTAAAATGTAGACCCCATTTTTTCATAAAATTAGCATACTAAATTCTTTGACTTCTGAATATAAGGAAATTCACAAGTAAAAAACCATAGTAAGCTTTAAATTTTAAAATGTATTTTGCTTTAGAGCATGGTCCTTAAACCTGCCTGCAGATCTGCATTTACTTTAGAGGGGTGATTTCAAACCTATAGAAAGCAAAGTTTGACCCATATATAATAAACAGGTTCGTTAGCATGGAGTTTATACATTTCATTTATTTATTTATTTATTTATTTATTTATTGGTGCTGGGGATCAAACTCATGACCTAGCGCTTGCTAGGCAGTCGCTTATGCCAATGAGCTGAATCCCTAGCCCTATACATCTTTATTTTTAAAATAGCTTCCAGTATACTTTTCTGAAGCTGAGTTTTAAAATCATAATTTAAAGCAAATGAGAATAAAACAAATACTAATACTATCTCATTTATGACCCTTAGGTGTAAAAGCCCTCTGGAAGGAATACATGCTAACCAGTTAGGGGACTTTGGTCTTGGTGAGGTAAAGCACATTGTCATGTTAACTTTCCTATGAAGTTATTTATATTTTAACATTTATAGTTTACAGTACTTTTATGTATTAAATTTTTTTCTGGTACTCTTTTCTTTATGTTTTCTTACACTTGTAAAATCATGACTTAGATATGGAAATAAAAACACCTTTCAAACTGTAATGTCCCTGAGACAAACCAATCTGGATATTTTTTAAATGTTCTCTAAGAGCTATAAACTTTCTTAAAACAAAAATGGTTTAAGTTTTAATGTATTTTGAGCATAAGTACACATTTAAGAATATAGAAATATTGAAAACATCGACTATATAATATTGTAACCCCTTCTCACGAAAACTCTGTATTGTTGTAACAATATTAGAAACTTTATGTGCCTCACAGTATCATGTTCTTAAAATACAAATGAACTCATACTACATGTGTGTCTAGAAAGACAGCTTGAAAATTGCTAGGGCTAATCAGAAAAACAAGAAGCTTTTGGTGGAGTTTAGTGAAGAAATTTTTGAGTAGAGTAATGGGAAGGTTTTTATCTGTGATATCTCATCAGGGTCAAAGGTCAAAGTGGAAGCTGGCATAAGTCGTAGATTCTACCATAAGAACCAACGCACCAGGCACTGTAGGTGAGGAGAAGAGGGTAGCAGCACAGAAGGAGGTCAGGGCTGTGCCTGCCAACTGGTTAAGCAAACTCAAAACAGGTTTTAGCTTCTATTGAGAAGAACTACTGCAGAGACAGGAGAGCTAAGTCACAGGTGAACAGCAGGAAACAGACCTCTTGTGTGTTGCTAGTTGAGAAAGAGGAAGTTGCGTTCCCATGATTCTTGTGTTGGAGGTGGGAAAGAATAGGAGGAATATAATTATTTAATTTAGTAGTAGACAAGATTTAAAATGATTGCTTAAAATGGGAAGGTAGTTGCTAGAAAATTGGAGGCACGGAATAATTTTAAAACTCAAAGAAGTAGTATTGTCACACAAGAAATCCTGACAAAAATGGAGAAAATGGAATAGAAGTTCTACATAAAATGTAAGGAATGAAATCTGCTGAGAAATTACTAATGCGTTAGTTGTGAGATGGCTGACTTTCCTTACTAAGATTTCAGTATCAAATTGAGAGGAAAAAATTATACATTTACAGTAAACAGGTACAGAACATAGTAACAGAGGTTAAACATACAGAAAATGAGGAAACGTACTTTAGCAATGACTGTAAAAATCCCATTCAGAAAAGAGCATGGTAGAAGATAAAGAGTTACTGATGACAGCAGTCATGAAAGCCTGCTGGTGTAGCATTGTGCAGCCTGGATGCACTGGATGAGCAGTTCCTTGAATAACTAACTTCTCACTTTGAGGAATCTTCTGTTACCTGTTTTAGTGTAAATAGAGATTAAACCCAGGGTTTTTGTATGAGCTGCATTCCCAGTCCTTTTATTTTTTACTGACACAAGGTTTTACTAAGTCACCAAGTTGTCCAGGTTAGGACTGACACTCCTGATCCTCCTGTCTCAGACTTCTTTGTTATCTTTCTTGAACAAATTTGAAGTGGATATTGGTGTGCATGCATGCCTTGGAGTCCTAATAGATATTTTGATCAGGTTTCTAATGTGATAGTACCACTCCATTTTTCTTGTTCATGGTGCAAGTTTTAGGCGTGACTGTCAAGAGATGAACAGCAGACTTTTAAAATAATGAAATAATGGCATTAGGGAAGAGGCTGTGCTCCGTATAGCTCTTCAGGTAGCCAAACTGGTAAGGACTCCATTATCTTTAAGTGATTGTTTCCATATTTATAGTGAATGTTGATATCAGGTAACAGAAGAGAATTGGTGGTAGAGAATTGTGAAGAAAATTTTTGTAGGCCCCCTTTGGAAGTAATGTATATTAGTCTCTGCCCATAAACAGAAATTAAATTACATGTCCAGACCACTCCAGGGAAGGCCAGGAAGTTAGTCAAATTGTATACTAGGAAGAATGAGGTTTGATGAATAGCTAGATAGTTTGTCCTTTATCCTGTCTACCTGAATTAACTCGGTATCCTACCAACAGAGAATATGTATAAAACATTTTCTTTTGATCCATGATATATTTGCAAATACAAATCATGAATAGGCCATTAAAAAAATTAAAAATTTAACAAGGATAGATTCATATCTACAGTTTGTAATCAGAATTCAAAAAGTTCAAAATTAAAACATGCTATTTAATTTCCTCTAACCTCTTGGAAATTAAGAAATTTTTTAAAAAGGAAAATTAAATCAAATTGTAAGTTATTTAGAGATAAAAATCAAAAATAATGTGTTTTATAGAAATTTATACTGCTAGCTTTTTAGTACTTTTTAAAAAATTACATAAGTAATTGCAACTTAAAATGTCATAAAGCACAGCAGAACAAAGTGGTTTAGGATCTTGTCTCTTTTCATTCACATTTACTATGATTCCTTGGTGCCTTTTATTTTTGTTAGTAATTTATTTCTTAGCAAGTGTGTATCTTGTTGCTTGCAATTTCTAAACCAATGTAAATTTCATTTAATCTCAGGATAATTTTTCTTATGAAATTATCTTTGTTGAATTGCAGTAATATAAACAAAAGAGTATTATAAAATGAATTAATAATGTTGACAGAGCAGTTATGAGTGGATATTATCATGTACACTTGGAAATTGTTAATGTTTTTATTTTCTAGGTTATGATGGAAAAAGGAACATGTTCTTTAAAAGGCAGGCCAGCATTTAAGAGAATCTGTCATGGTAATTATATAAGTGAGTTTTATTGATTAGAAAACTAACAGTTAAATAGAAGTCAGTTATACAAGGGGTTTGAATTTTTTACCAGCCAGTAAGTATTTTCTAAATATTTGAAACTAGTAATGCATTTAGCTCGTAAAAATTACTTTGTATTTTTTACAGCATATATGTGATACATACACATAATGTACATGTAAAGTTTGACAAGTGATGAAACAGATATCCTTGTACTCAACAATGTAGTTTATGAAACAGTAGTACTGTACTTTTGAAAATATCAGTTCCATTTCCTATACTGCCCCCTAGAGGTAAATATTATCCTGAGTCTGTTTTTGTTATTGCTTCATACTGGCTTTTAATGTGTTTTATTTTTACTTTGCTTATAGTATCTTCTGTTTTATCATTTTAATGTAAATTATCAGCCTTTTGTTATATCTGGGTTTCATTAGAAAGTCTGTACTCCAAGATTATAAATAAATTCATATTTTTTCTAGTGTTAGTATAGTTTTATATTTTTCCATTCATGTCTTAATCTATTTGTAGTTTATTCAGATTTCAAATATGAGATATATATCAATTCAAGTTTTAAAAATGTATCTTTATTAAGTATTTGTGATATTATCTTTTTAAATTTTTTTATTTTTTGTTTTAAGAGATTAAGACAAAAGAGCACATAACGAAGATCAGAACAATGCAAGTTACACAGCATTTTACCACAAAACAACCCATAATTAACAGTAACTACAATAATGTCTCTTTCTTTGAAATAGTTGAGCATAGCTTCATATACGATAGTATCAAGCATAACAAAACAGTATAAAACCATTCAGTAAAATGAAAGCACTACAGGGCTTTCAGAACCAAATAGCAGAGAATGAACAATAGCTACCATATTATCTCATTTTCCATAGAAAACTTATTTATACTATCACACATAATAATACCCAATAAGATGTAACAGGATAGGACCAAAGGCAACAAAAAAATAAAAGCATAGTAGGACTTCAGAGTAAGATGATACTAAATTAGCTCTGGCTATTCTAATGTCTTCTTTTCTTTAAGATAGCTGTTTATACCATCACAAATAATGAAATCAAACAAACTAGGATAAAACCATCCCAACTAATGAAAGCAGACATTATAAGGCTTCAGAGCAATGTAATGGGGAATCATGATCACTATAAACTCTTATGTACTCTTACCATTTCTTACACTAGGGAGACTACAGTATTTATACATGTGAGTTTGATTTATTTTGCTTATGAGTATGGTCTCAAGTTCTGTCCATTTATTTATAAAATCTCAATGTGATCATTCTTTACAGCTGAGTAGTACTCCATTGTATAAAAATACCACAGCTTTTTTATCCATTCCTCAGTTGACGGACACTACGGACACTTAGTTTTTTCCAAGATGTGGCTATTACAAATTGTGCTGCTATAAACATGGGTGCACATAGACCACTGTGGTATGATGCTTTCAGTTCTTCTGGGAATATGCCTAGAAGTAGAATAGCTGGAACAAATGGGACTTCCAATCCCATCTTTTTGAGCTCCAGACTGAACTCCAGAATGGTTGCACCAGACTACACTCCCACCAACAGTGCAGGAGAGTTCCCTTTTCCCCACAGCCTCTCCAGCATTTGTTGTTGGTAGTTTTCTTGATCCTGGCCATTCTTTCCAGAGTGAGATAGAATCTCAGTGCTGTTTTAATTTGCATTTCTCTAATGAATAATAATGATGAATTTTTTCATGTATTTATTTGCCATTTGTATTTATTCATCTGAGAACTGTGTATTCATTTCAGATGCCCATTTTTGGATTGGGTCTTTGAATTTCAGGGGTCTGATTTTTTTTTTTAAATTCTTTATATGTTTTAGACAGAAGTCCTTTGTCTGAGGGACAGTTCACTAAGATTTTTTCCCAGTTTGTGGGTTTTCTTTTCACTATGCTGGAGATTTCTTTTGACATGCAGAAACTTTTTAATAAGACGTGACCCCAGTTATTGACTCTGGGAAGTATTTCCCGGGGGGTTTGATTCCTGTTCATGAATTCTCTACCTACCCTTATGTCTTCAAGGTTTTTACCCAATTTGTCTTCCAATAGATTTAGTGTTTCTGTTTTAATATTCAGATCTTTGATCCATTTAGATTTTAATTTAGTATATGGTGATAGGCATGAGTCTAGTTTTAGTTTTCGGCATGTGGAGGGCCAGTTTTTCCAGCACCATTTATTAAAGAGACTGTCGTTCTTCCAGTGAACATGCTTGGCCCCTTTATCAAAGATAAGGTGGTTGAGTGTGTTGGTAGTTGTGGTTGTACCTTCTAATCTATTCCATTGATCTTTAGATCTGTTTTTATTCCAGTACCATGTTGATTTTATTGCAGTTGCTTTGTAGTATAACTTCAAGTCAGGGATTGTGATGCCTCCTGACTTGCCTTTGCTGCTTAGAATTGCCTTTGCTGTTGGAGGTCTCTTCTGGTTCTAGATGAATTTTAGGAGTGATTTCTCTAGATCTGTGAGGTATGTTGATGGTATTTTCATTGGGATTGCACTGAATCTTTATAACAGTTTTGGGAGAATGGCCATTTTTATGATATTTATTCTTCCTATCCATGAGCAAGCGATGTCTTTCCATTTTCTGAGATCCTCTTGAATTTCTTTTTTCAAGGTATTATAATTTTCCCTGTATAGATCTTTTACTACTTTTGTAAGATTTAATCCTTAAGTATTTCCTTTTTTTGGATGCTAGTGTGAAGGGTGTGGCTTCTTCTATTTCTCTCTCAGTGATTTTGTTGTTAGTATATAGAAATGCTATTGATTTTTGAGTATTGATTTTGTATCCAGCTACACTGCTGAATTTATTATATCTAAGAGTCTTTCAATGGAGTTTTGGGGGCCTTCTATGTAGAGTATCATGTCATCCACAAATAATGATAATTTAACTTCCTCTTTTCCTATCTTTACCCCTTTTATTTCTCTCTCTTGTCTTATTTCTCTGGCTAGTATTTCCAGTACTATATTAAATAGGAGTGGTGATAAGGGGCATCCTTGTCTCGTGCCTGATTTTAAGGTCAAGGCATTCAGTTTTTGGCCGTTTAATATAATGCTGGCTGTTGGTTTGTCATAGATGGCCTTTATCATATTGAGATAAAGACCATCTATTCCCATTTTCTATAGGGTTCTTATCATGAATGAGTGTTGGACCTTATCAAAAGCTTTTTCTGCATCTATAGAGATGATCATGTGGCTTACTTTTGGCTTTATTGATATGGTGGATTACATTTATTGACTTAGATATGTTGAACCATCCCTGCATGCCAGTATGAATCCCATTTGGTTGTGGTGTATAATTTTCTTGATGATTTGCTGCATCCTGTTTGCCAATATTTTATTGAGAATTTTTTCATTTGTGTTATTAGGGAGATTGGCCTGTAGTTCTCTTTTTTAATTGGGTCTTTCTCAGGTTTTGGTACTAGAGTAATAATTGCTTCAAGGAATGACTTAGGAAGAATTGCTTCCCTTTTGATTTCATTGAACAGTTTGAGGAGTGTGGGCATTAAGTCTTCTTTCTATTTCTTGTAGAATTCTGCAGTGAATCCATCTGGGCCTGGGCTCTTCTTTGTAGGTAGGGACTTAATTACATTTTCAATTTCATTAATAGAAATTGGGTTATTCAGCAGTTTTACATCTCCTTGACCCAGCTTTGGTAGTTCACATGTTTCTAGGAATCCATTTCTTCTGTGTTATTGAACCTATGAGAGTAGAGGTTTTTGAAATAGATGTTGATAATCTTCTGTATTTCCACAGAGTTTGTAGGGATTTTGCCTTTTTCATTCCTTATTGCATGAATTTGAGCTGTTTCTTTCCTTTTTAAATAAAGTTGGCTAGGGGCTCATCAATTTTATTTATTCTTTCAAAGAACCAACTCATTGATTCATTGATTTTTTTTGGATTGTTTTCTTAGTCTCTATTGTATTAATTTCTGTTCTGATTTTTTATAATTTCCTCCCTTCTTTTGGCTTTGGGCTTGACTTGCTCTTTTTCTAGACGTTTGAGATGTAGCAATGATTGTTTATTTGTATTTGTTCTGTTTTCCTGATGTGGGAACTTAGTGCAATAAATTTTCCTCTGAGGACTGCCTTTATTGCATCCCACAGATTCTTTTAAGTTGTATTTGTATTTTTGTTTGCTTGTAGGTATTGTTAAATTTGTTCTGTAAGTTCCTCTGTGACCGACTGATTGCTCAACAGTGTATTATTCAATTTCCATGTGTTTATGGAGTTTTTGCAGTTTCTTTTATCATTAATTTCTAGTTTCATGGCACTGTGCTCTGATAGCATGCATAGAATAATTTCAATTCTTTTGCATTTATTTAAATATGTTCTGTAAGCTAGTATATGGTCTATTTTAGAGAATGTCCCATGTGCTGCTGAGAAGAATGTATATTCTGGTGTTATTGGATGGAACACTCTGTATATGTCTACCAAGTCCATTTGTTCACAGGTGTGATTCAGATTTTCTGTCTGGTTGATCTGTCGCTTGGTGTCAGTGGTGTGTTAAGGTCTCCTGTTGTAATTGTGTTACTGCTAATTTGATTTTTCATTTCTATTAATACTTTATATAACTGGGTACTCTGGAACTTGGTGCATATATATTTAAGATACTTATTTCTTCCTCTTTAAGTTTTCCGCTAACCAATATGTAGTAACCTTTATCTCTTAGGATCATTCTTGGTTTGAAGTTCACATTATCTGCAAACAGAATAGCTACTTGTGTTTTTTTGTCAGTTCCTGTTGCATGAAGTATTGTTTTCCATCCTTTGACTTTCAGTCTGTGAGTTTCATTTTGGGTTAGATGAGTTTCTTGCAGATAGCATATGGTTGGATGTTGTTTCTTGATCCATTCTGCCAATCTGTTTCTTTTAATTGGTGAATTGAGACCATTTACATTAATGGTTATGACTGTTACAGATTGGCTTATTGTTGACATGTTATCTTTCTG